TATCATAGGTCATGAACTTTGTCGGCATATTTGATAAAGCTGAATAATAGCGAGGATGTTTTATCGAAATGTTAAATGTGGCCTTTAATTGCGGTTGGTCCCAACAAGGAAATAACTGTCTCATTCCATTCCGCTCTTGAATGTATGGAGCTATCAACAATCTATTACAATTTGATAATTATTATATTTTAAATACAATATTGAATCTTTATAATTTGACTGAATTAAAACAATATCATTAAAAATTATTACATGAATTACATTTTGAATAAAAATAAGAAATAATTATAAATCACATCATGTATAGTTATATATTTCTTTTTTAACTATTTATAATTTACTCACGTTACGGTATTTCCTTTGGAAACATTTTTAAAGAAACTGTCTTCATGGTTTTCTCTTAGATGACCAAAAAATTGTATTTTGAATGTGTAGAGTCCGGGAAGTAACATATAGTCTAAAGGAAATCCTAATATGTTCGTTTTTTTGCTGTATTTATATCCATCCAATACGTAAATTATAGCGTTCTTTGTAGTCAAAGTTATATTCGCAAGACTTATTATCAGATTTAGTTGATTCAAACTTATATAGTGAGTAGACTCTAGGATATTAATAGTTGTACGAGTTTTACCGCGAAAGAGAAATGAGTCATAATCATTATTTAAATCAAACATCTCTTTCCAAATGTTATCAAGTTTATCAGTGGGTTCATAATTTGGGTTTATGTAGTCGAGCTGTATGCAGTAGTGCACTGGTATTACGTAATAAGGAAAATGTATGTAATTCGACATGTTGAAATTGTTTTGTTCTTCACTATTAAGAACAGCTATTGTCAGAATAACTATTACGCTATTACTTATCTGTGCTAAATTCATGTTGCCTTAGTTGTCGTTCTAAATATATATATCTGTCGAAAAGTTTAAAGAAATAATATAGTACTAATGATAATAATGCACATTGTTATTGTGCATGTGTTAGAGAGAGAAAGAGAGTTAGAGAGAGAGGGAGGAGGGAGATGGGGTGAGAGGGGGGGAGAGAGAGAGATGGAGAGAGAGACGTTATTAAATTCGTTTCGTAATCGTAAACGCGTACAGATACGATTGTATCTATTATTGGGAATAACACTAAACATTTTTTAATTCGATAATATTTTTAGCACTGTTGCGATTACGTTAAAGATATCGTTACAACGTTATTTTCTAAAAAATTTATATTATTATTTATTTAAAAAAATGTTTCTCAGTTAAAACGTTTGTAAACGCGTACAGATACGATTGTATCTATTATTAAGAATAACACTAAACATTTTTTAATTCGGTAATATTTTTAGCACTGTTGCGATTACGTTAAAGATATCGTTACAACGTTATTTTCTAAAAAAATTTATATTATTATTTATTTAAAAAAATGTTTCTCAGTTAAAATGATTGTGTAATACAAAATGTTTATTTTTCTGTTAATTAATAAGAAATCTTATGATTATCATATAAATGTTTACTAAAAATTTCATTTAATAATACATTATTAAGGTACGGACATATGCTTACGTAAGTAACGTTTAGTTTAAAGTCAAATAGAATTGTCACAATGTCAATATTTAAAAAATTATGCAGCATGCACTCTGCAAATAATTAATGTATCATATTTTTAGATACTTACCCTGTGTAAATAAATTGTGCTATTAGAGTATAATTCAGACTCCTAATTGATATTCATACGATAAAAATAACGGAAATGTAGATCATAACTGAATGTTTCTGATTGCTGCGATGTTATTCTTCCGAGATGTCTCAACAGACTAATGTCATCGACAACGGATTACATTGTAAATACAAAACCGTTTCATTTAACGTGAACGTGCGATATTAGTTGACGAAATTTTAATCGATTCTCTTTTCGATATAATACAAATTTAATATAGGTGGACACCTTTGACCAATTTATGCGAACGTTTGATTTTTTCTGCTATCGAACTATTGACATACTTCTAATGCACAGTGACAGTTTAGGAAAATTTTTCGCATTTTTAACTATTTGAGCCATTTAAGATATTCTTACGTGTAAGTTTAAATTGTTTAACATTTATATGTTTATAATATATGCTTTATTATGTAAATAAATTACATGCTACCTTAAATTTTGATAAGATTTCCACGAGGATTTTCTATAATCTCCTATAATTTTCTCATAAGTATTTATGACCTGCATTAAGAGATGAATGCAGAAAGAGAGAAAGAGCGACGAAGGGGAGAGGGGGGAGAGGGTCGGAGAGAATGGAGAGGGGAAGAGAAGGAGAATAAGATGTAGCCGTATTAATACAGCCATTTGTTTGTAGTCATTATAAATTGAGAGATTTGAATTCTAAAAATAATGAATTTAATAATATAATTGAGGAGATGGTCGGAATAAACTCTGATACAATTGTAAACAGTTTTCCCCCGAACCCTTTCCAATTATTGTATAATATTACTGTATTCTCATTAGTTGTGCCAATACTGAGTAGGAAATGGACAAGAACTTGATAGTGTTTTATTTTGTCCATTTCATGAGCACTTGGCTTGCTTGTTAATCAATTTAATTAATTTATCCATTATTTGTTATGTTTCTGTTTAATAAAGGGATTCATCTTTAGGCAGCTTTTATACAGTAACTGCAAACAAAGCGTTATATCCCGATTGGAATCCTAAGTAGTTTTCCTTCTCAGTTACTAGAGAGAAGTTGGTATAACAGTTTAGTAACTTCTCAAAAAATGCATGTAATTTTCACCAGGGAAAGACACAATTCTACTGAGGCCCTTTATCCGGCAAGTAGATTTTTGATATAATATTGATCGTTATAGAGAAGTATTGTAATATGCAACTTCTTAAAGATATTACATAAATTCCTTTAATATTGTATTCTTTTACATATACCACAAAAGTAGCAGGTTATTTTAATTTGTATTGAAATCAAGATTTTGTAATTAGGCTTTTATTCCGCCCATCACCTCCATAGATATGAAGTACTAACAATAAGTAGACATTGTGTTACGCATCGTAATATGTTGTTAATATTTTTATTATAAATTACAGTAAAAATAATAATAATATATTACGATATGTAACATAATGAAAACAAGCAGGAAATACAAAAGTTATAATATACAGGGAACAGTAATTTTTGTAAATTATATATATCAAATTGGCACTGTCCATATTAACAAGTATTAAAAATTTATTCTGAGGACATTTGTAAGAATCATGGATAATAAAATAACCGTAATAGTTCATTATAATTAAGATATATTTATTAATTATTTTGTGCTATAAACGAATAATAATATTATATGATATGCTAAATAATACAGGTACGATAGTATTATAATAACGAAAAATAATCGATAATGTGCAAATGAAGCAAGACTAACATATGGAAAATACAGACGTAAGTAAAAATTTAATGAAAACAATATCATAACATTTGTGTAAGCCTAAATATATAGCAAAATTATTATAACAATATATTCAAAATTAACACTATATATTCAGCAACAGTAAGATCAGCTTATGTAATTTTCCACTGATTCGAGCTAATATAAAAGAAAACTTATATATATTACTTAGTTATTTAAATTAGATTAAAGATCGCTTATAAATCGAAAATATAGTGTTTGAGCGGCAATTTCTGACAATCGGATGGATATCTTACTTTGAATTAGCAAAAGTTGTGATTTATTTATGTAACCTCTAAAGGAAAGTGAATTTATATAATCATCTTGAATCTAAAACAAAAAATGATTTAAAATGTAATTACATTTGTTTAATAATTTATTATCGTCCCATACAGACAAAATTGCATGCAATAAATAGTCGTTTTTCATAAATTGAAAGACCAAAGAGCAGTCAGAGGCATATGTGGCATATTGCATACACCATGCATCAGTTATTAATAAAAATTTTGAAGGCAGTTATAAAAAAAACTTCTCAGTTCAGTTTAGTCTTTTTGTAATTCAAAAAATTAGAAAAAGATAAAGTATAAAAAACTGAAGTTAAAATAAATCTTACAGGTATGAAACCTAACTAAAACGAAATTGATAAGTGTATAGATAATTAGAATTGATTTTATTTACCTTAATAAGATATTTGGAAGAATATACATGGTTAATGATATCGACCAGCGCTGTTAACAAGCTCATTTGTCTATATAAAATCAATTCGTACAAATATATGTTTTATTATATAATATACTATCGTTAAATAAAGAGTAAATTTATAAAACATGTACTTACGCAGGTTTCATAAACTCGAGCTTTCTAAATATCATCTCGAGTATGTCATGTCTGTTAGAATATTTTGTAATAACTGAATGAAAAATGTTTATGTACGAACGAATATTCGTAATGTCCTGTTGCCCTTCCTCATGGAAACGTTTCGATAATAATGAAGAAGTAGTATTTGGAGTAGCATTCCTAAAACAAGTTAAGAAGGGTAGCAACGTATGATTACGTGCTTTGAACCATGTATCTCTTATGTGTGTCCACGTAAATGAATAAGTTGTTACTGCAACACCATTGCAATATGTCCAGTGCTTCCACCATGGTAAGAGGCTGAAGATTTAAAAAAAAATAATATATTCACACATGTAAAAACATTGTTTATTATATGTTTGAACCGAAATTTTGTCTTAATTCGAAATACAAAAACGAAATTATGAAGCAATTGCACTTATAGAATAATATTACGGATTTATTTCAGGATTTCCGAGATGTTGCATTAATTTACGAAAAGCTGATTGTTTGCACTCATCGAATTGGAAAATACATGCCCATTTCACAATTTCTTGTCTTAAACATTTAACAAAGTCATTTTCCACCAAATGTTCTTCATATCCTAGTGTTTTCAGAGGTTTTTCCAACAATTTTTTTAATTTCTCCTAAATGACGCAAGTTTCATTGATCGTAATGAAGCTCATTATTATAGATAGCACTGACAATTAATCGTAATGAATTCAAAAAGGGATTACTTTTTCTACGTTCTTTCTGATGTAATAATCAGTTCGAAATGATTTTGAAAATTGAAATATGGGTGAACTATTATTTTCTAGTTAAATTTACGAGAAATTCTATTTGATATAGTTGATAGAAATAATTGTTTTAAATAATATAATAATTCTGATAAAAATAATAATTCTTGCAGATTTTACCAGATATATTATTCCAACAAGAATTTCGATTATCTTAATTAGAATTCTAGGAAATTTAACAAAAACTTCCGATGCACATATTTTCAACTAGAAATTTTTTTTGATATATCTAATATTCATTGTTAAATATAATATCTATTGGACGTTACCATAATATCGGCGAACTCAATTTCTTCTCTGGAAAGTGGAATTAAATTCGACATATATTCAAACCCTTTAATCATTGGATACCACACTACGAAATTTGTTTCTTGCGATAAGAATTTCGTGAGATTCCAAAATGCAGATACATCGAGCTCACGATTCATCATCAAATGAAACGCATCATCAATAAATTTAGCACGATTGATGACACTTATACTCTTATAATCTCCAGCTGTGTCATTTAAATATTTTGCAATGTTTCCCCAGGTTATTGAATCATATTTGATTCGATAGTAACCTATTCATGAGAAAAAAAGTTAATTTATTTAACTGTATTATAAATTTTCCAAGATTGACATTGAAAGAAATACTTTTCTTCATTTTATCTTCTTTTTTATATTAAAGAAACGTCACACATACTTGTATGATCAAATATACTGAAAATTACTATATCTATAATACACATATTGTGTTTTTGAGTACATGCATTCTTACGTTTCATATAATGGGAACATTCATCATGCATATTTTCGTTATTACATCGTTACAGGATCATCAACTATCCGACTTAATGGAAATATTTGCAGAAGTATTTCTTGCTATTTTCATAATAACATAAAATGTGTAAAATTTTTTAAGTATATTTACCAGCTTGCTCAATGTTTACCATCCAAGATTTATTTAAAATAGCTGTGGGAAACTCGGAAGAACCAATATTTGGTTTTAAACATATTTTCCACATATTTTCATTTAATGATGATATTTCCCTTAAAGTTATGGGTATCAGCCACTTTCCGTAACTCGTTGTATTATAACTTTTCGATATTCTTTTTATAACTCGGGAATGTTCGTATTGTTCCCAGATTACAACAGGATAATGTTTGTACTGGATCCAAGTTAAGAACTCATTTGATGGTAAATTACAGTTATATGCTTCATCTAATTCTACTTTCGTGGACCAAAATTTATAAGATATTATTGAACTGAACATCCTAAATATAAAAAGTTATTGTTAATGATCAGCATAATGGATGGAAAATAAAAATGAGAGTTATAACTTAACTTATAATATACATAGAACTCTACAACACAATTTTATGTCACACACATATTAGAGACGAAAGTCGCCTAGACTGACTCTAGGACTTGAAAATATAGCCGCTTGTTTTTCGAAAGTAAAATTAAGTTAATATATAAGCGAACAAAAAATTAAAAAGACCTAAACAAATAAAATTTGAAAAAAAAATGTATGTATTCGAAACGAAGGTATTATAAAATATTGCAGATATTATGAAAATGTTTAAAACATTAATAGTCTATAAGAGTTGTTATATATATATTTATCGCAATCTCACACACACACACACACACGCGCGTTTGTATCGTACAGATATGTAATTAATTTTTGTATTATCTTCACTCACTCTTTGCTTAAATATACATGGACATTATTTCGAAACACTTCATCGGTAATAGCATTTTGGAACATCCGTAAAACAATTATTACTATAATAAGAAAGGTATTAATACATCGTAAATGAATTTTTTCCAACTAATCTTTTCCTGGCATTTCTTTTATAATATACGTACGTATATAAATTTCTACTAAAATGTTATTTAATTATTTGCACCTTTCATATAACGAGGAAAACCGAAAATTGAATTAAAATCTGATGAGTTAGTGATTTCCACAGGATTCATATTAAAGTTAGAATCCAAATGAAGAGATTCGTACTGATTCTGAATTATGAAGAGATCGATAATTTCAGAATTATTGAAGCTCTAAAAACAAAGATTTATATTTATGCATAAACATTAAGGTAAAAGACATGTCCGCATTTTGAGCTGACGAGTGCTACTGCACACTACATATATGTGCATGTTTGTACCTTATCATAAAAATCATTTTACAATTATCATAATTCAGTTTAGAAAAACGCGTGAAATCATTTACTAAAATAAATTTTTACACTAAAATAAATTTTGACATTATATGATCTATATTATGATGTTTTTTTAACATTTAATTGAAAACGTTTCTAGGAGTCTTTTTACAAAAATTTTTACAGATTATTATTATTCCTACGTAAAAGTATATCTTCGCATACTTCAAATAATAAGTAGACTTTAAAAAAGATATGATCTCGCAGTCGGATCTAAATATTAAATATAAAAATGGTATACATAACATATATCTTTCATATCGCGATATTAATAAATATTAAAACCTTAGCAACAGCTTCTTCTCCAAACATAGTAGCAAGAGCGTCGTGTAACCAAAAACGATGCCACCAAGCTGAACTGGGGTTACTAAACCATTGATATGCTATTTTAGATGCTATTAAACGTGCGACTTCCATTTTACGTATAACTGGATCCAATGGTTCATCATAAATAAGATTGGCTTCCCTAAAAATTATTATAGTTGGTCTAACATGCAATAATTTTTTTCTTTCTTTTTACATAAAACGTATTACTTGTTCACACTTTCCGATTTAATATGTTTTCAGTAATGTGTATAAAGTATTTGACATTTAATATTATATGTAATATTGAATATAGTAAATTATAATGGGATCAAATTGTTTGTATTTTACTAGATTCAGTTTGACATTAAATGTGTAACATCTTGTTAAATATTTACTTTTCTTATTAATATTGTCAGAAAAGTGGATTCTCTTTTGCGTGTTTTCTAATAATAAAGTACAACAGTCATCTAACATTTGATATCACAAGATAATTCGTATAACGTGAGACATGCAATAATGAATAAAATTTATATAAATATATGAAAAAGTGTTTTATATGTAGATGTTTAGAACAGAAGAAGATATCACACAGTAAAATGGGTTACGGTAAATATACTGAATAAGTGAGCCTCCTCATAATCTTGACCTTGACATTTGTTACCATGAAGGTCATAGGGAAATGCTTCCCAATTCGGTATAATTATCAAGATTAATTGAGGAAGCATAAAGATGCTTCCTAATTGCTTGTATTTTTCTAATAGTCTGTATATATTTTTAAACATATGGATACTTTTACTTATTTATACATCAACTTTTTTATAATATTTATTTCAAGATATTTAAAAGGAATTATTAATATAGTAATGTAGCATACAAAATATTTAATACTTTATGCTAGCGTATTTTGGCATGGAATAATGTGAAAAATCTCACAACTGTTAATTTTCTTATACACATATTCTGGTATTTTATGCACAGTTGATGAAAAAAATACAATTGATTTTATAGAAGAAATGCAATTACAATTATTCTATTTTTATTTTAAAATATAAATTGTATACGAATCATCTTATATGATAATGGTAGAGAGTTATTAAATATATAATTTATTCAATTTTAGACTTTTCAATGCTTGAATAGATGCAAATTATTTTATCGTTTAACATATTTTATATTGAAATGTGTTCATTACGAATGAAATATGAGCCCCCATTTCGATATGCCGTCTTGTGGAAAATTTGGAATCGCAATGTGATCCATTTTTGGAATAATTATCCCACCAAATTCAGATTTTAACTGCAATGTAATATTGTTCATGATTCTCCGTGCAAACTCAAATTTCGGACGACGTTCTTCTGAATCACAATCGCACCACAAAGTAATGTTTTTATTAACTCTAATGGATTGATACTCAGTCATGACTATACCAATTTGGAAAGTGCTCATTTGAGGCGTAATATAGAAGTATGTGCGTAATGAATCTGTATAATTATCATAGGTCATGAACTTTGTCGGCATATTTGATAAAGCTGAATAATAGCGAGGATGTTTTATCGAAATGTTAAATGTGGCCTTTAATTGCGGTTGGTCCCAACAAGGAAATAACTGTCTCATTCCATTCCGCTCTTGAATGTATGGAGCTATCAACAAACTATTACAATTTCATAATTATTATATTTTAAATAAAATCATGAATCTTTATAATTTGATTGAATTCAAACTGTACTCTGTATCATTAAAAATCGGTACGAATTACATTTTGAACAAAAATAAGAAATAATTATAAATCACATTATCTATACGTATATTTTTAAGTATTTATAATTTACTCACGTTACGGTATTTTCTTTGGAAACATTTTTAAAGAAACTGTCTTCTATTAGATGACCAAAAAATTGTATTTTGAATGTGTAGAGTCCGGGAAGTAACATATAGTCAAAAAGAAATCCTAATACGTTCGTTTTTTTGGTGTATTTGTATTTATCCATTACGTAAATTATGGCGTTCTTTGTAGTCAAAGTTATATTCGCAATAATTATTGTCAGATTTATTTGATTCATACTTATATGGTGAGTCGACTGTAGGATATTAATAGTTGTACTAGTTTTACCGCGAAAGAGAAATGAGTCATATTCATTTTTTAAACCAACTATCTCTTTCCAAATATTACCAAGTTTATCATCAATGTGTTCATAAATTAGGTAGTCGAGCTGTATGCAGTAGTGCACTGGTATCACGTAATGAGGAAAACGTACGTAATTCGTAATGTTGAAATTGTTTTGTTCTTCACTATTAAGAACAGCTATTGTCAGAATAAGTATTACGCTATTACTTATCTGTGCTAAATTCATGTTGCCTCAATTGTCGTTTTAAATATATATATCTGTCGGAAAGTTTAAAGAAATAATATAGTTCTAATGATAATAATGCGCATTGTTATTGTACATGATGTTAGAGAGAGAGAGAGAGAGAGAGAGAGGCGTTATTAAATTCGTTTTGTAATTGTAAACGTACAGATACGATTATATCTACTAATAAGAACAACACTAAAAATTTTTTAATTCAGTAATATTTTTAGCACTGTTGCGATGACGTTAAAGATATCGATATAGCAACGTTATTTTCTAAAAAAATTTATATTATTATTTATTTTAATAAGTGTTTTTCAGTTAAAATGTTTATGAATACGAAACCTTTATTTTTCTGTTAATTAATAAGAAATCTTATGATTATCATATAAATGTTTACTAAAAATTACATTTAATGGTACATTATTAAGGTACGTACATATGCTTACGTACGTACTAAATGTCAAATAGAATTGTCACAACGTGAATATTTAAAAAATAATGGAGCATGCACTCTGCAAATAATTTATGTATCATATTTTTAGAAACTTACCCTGTGTAATAAAATTGTGCTATTGGAGTATAATTCAGACTCCTAATTGATATTCATATAATAAATGTAGCGGAAATATAGATCACAATAGAATGTTTCTGATTGCTACGTTGTTATTCTTCCGAGTTGTCACAACAGACTAGTGTCATCGATAACGGATTTCATAATAAATACAAAACCGTTTCTTTTAATGTAAGTATGCTAGATGGAGTATAAATTGTAACGAATCACCTTGTATGATAATTATTAAATTTGTAATTTAATCAAGTTTAAACTTTTAAATGATTCAAATTATTTTTTTGTTTAACATATTTTATATTTAAATGTTTACATTACGTATGAAATATGAGCCCCCATTTCAATATGCCGTCTTTTGGAAAATTTGGAATCGCAATGTGATCCATTTTTGAAATATTTATCCCACCGAATTTAGATTTTAAATGTAATGTAATATTGTTTATAATTCTCTGAACAAATTCAAATTTGAGTCGCCGCTTTTCTGAACAACATACGCATCATAAAGTAATGTTTTCATTAATTCTAATATATTGATATTCCGTCATGACTATCGCAATTTGG